ACCACAATGTCCCTGCTGCCATTCAGGGCACGACCCATTCCACGTGTTTGCACCTGCGTAGTAAAGTCGTTCCTGAATATCGTCCAGTTTTTTTCATGTCCATCGAAGTTTAGTTGCTTCAGGCGAGGGATCCGGGCGTGAGAGTTGGAAGCATACCATTTTTTTTTTTTTTTTTGTTCTTCACTTCAATCAGCGCTCACAGCACTAGTGCCGTTTATTCCAACCCGTGGTCACACAGAAGAGCCCTCTCTACCTTCCCCTCCTGCGGTACTTTGCCTACGATTTTTAATGCGAGAAGAGTTCAGCACTCTCTTCCCTCTGTGTACACACGAACAAGCGCTATCCACTCGGCCAGGAGCGGAGGCGAGAGAAAAACTCACTTTGCAAGAAAAGCTCGCCTACGCCGGGATTCGAACCCCTGACCTGACCTCTAGAAGGTTTCGAGGTTACCAACTAGACCACCGGGGCGACCGGCCATGCGGTCTGCTCACTGTGGGCGCCTTCTCGCGAGACGCCTCCCTCAGATGGCGTGGACTCTCCTGGTGGCGCCGGGCCTAGCAGTCGTCTCGCTCCCTCCAGTCCCCGTCCGGTGTTTAGTGCGTGGTCCGTGGAAAAACCAGCGCCTGGAAGGGTGTGCGCCCCTCCCACTGACTCTCCTCGCCGCCCGCCGCGGTGGTGCCTCGGGCACCAGTCGAGACAAGGTGTTCATGATGCCTTCCAGTCTCCGTCACCATCTTCTCCATTCTGGTACTGGCGTCGCCGACGGCGTCATCGATGGCCGTCCTAAGCTCCTTACGAATCGGACCGGCCTCGCCCCCGCCAGAGTTTCCAGAGTCTTCCGAAGGCATGTGTGTCTGCCACGCTAGTTTATTTTTATTTATTTATTTATTTATTTATTTTTTGTCTTCACTTCAATCAGCGCTCACAGCACTAGTGCCGTTTATTCCAACCCGTGGTCACACAGAAGAGCCCCTCTCTACCCTCCCCTTCTGCGGTACTTTGCCTGCGATTTTTAATGCGAGAAGAGTTCAGCACTCTCTTCCCTCTGTGTACACACGAACTAGCGCTATCCACTAGGCCAGGAGCGGAAGCGAGAGAAAAACTCACTTTGCAAGAAAAGCTCGCTTACGCCGGGATTCGAACCCCTGACCTGACCTCTAGAAGGTTTCGAGGTTACCAACTAGACCACCGGGGCGACCGGGTTATGGCGTGAGGCGTTCAATCAGAGTGATTGACCCCAAGCCCGGTGCTGCTGGATGAGCACGGCTGACCCGGTTGATAAATGTGAAGAGATGGTAAAGTCGTTTTTATTGGTTGCCCTCGTAGACGAAGCAACGGAAGAGAGTGGGCACCAGGGTGCATCACAAGCACCGAGGTACACGAGCAACAGTCGCAAAAATTCACCGCAGTAAAGACGCGTTCGGCACTCGGAACACGCGACAGCGGAACACGTGACAAGTTGCCAAATATATGACCGGAGATACCCCCGAAAGTCCAAGACCGATGAACGGCCTCGTACTTGCGCACTTGCCAAGCTCAAAACCACACATGAGTACTACCGCAGTGGCCTTCGCAAGGATGGCATAATCCACCTCACGAACACAGTGGTTCTCTCATTAGGTGGCCTGATGAAGCTGCAGCTGCGTGCACACGCGGCCGTCGGAAAGATCTTGACCCCCTCGCTTGTAGCACGCTTGGTCGGTTCTGAGCGCAGTGTTCCTTGTTGTTTCTATCTACTCGGCGCGATTTTCCCTTCAGGACGAGGGGGCTGGTGCGGGAAAGAAAGCGGCAGAGGCTGCACCGGCCGATGCGCCCGAGGTATGCATGCGAGGTGTTGAATCCGTGAATGTTTGGTTTTTGTGTGTGTGTCTTTATTGTTAGCATCGACTGCGCTATAACCGGCTGACCGATGAAAAGACGTCAGTCTCAATGCGGTTGAAAGCACCAAACACTTCTACACGCCATGAACTGGGACCCCGTGAGGGGGCAGCATGGGGGAGGCTAATCTATTCTCCGGATTTAAGACAGAAACGGTAGCAACAGAGGAAAACTGCACATGTCTACCAAGGCTGCTGCCTTGCACTCGAGTTCGTTTTCGAGTGCTTTCACCAGCATCCTCCTTGCTTTCACCACCACCGCCCTCATAATCATTTTCACAGCTATTTTTCGGCAGTTCTTCTCTAGCCCTGCGTCGTTTGTTGTTGGTAAGGTTCATATGTGTGCGTGTGTGTTGGTCCCATCTAAATTCGCCGTATTTGTAGAGAGAATCGAACCCACAGATTGACCACTAGACCACCACTAGACTTCGTTTTTTTTTTCGTTGCGAGGCGTTCGTTGACGAGCGCGGTGCGTTCACGGCGTTGATTCGGCTCCTCTATTTTTCCTTTTTCAGGCCCCTTATGGTAGCGAGTATTCTGTGCCTTGACCTCTGTTCCGAGTGCAGTCCTTCCTGCAATGACTTCCAGTAGTCACAACAATCTCGAGTGCATCTTTGAAGTACCTTGCTTTGAAGCAGCAGTGTGGGCGAACGCAAATGTGCTTTCACAACCTTTAGAATATTGAAGTAGTCATTTTTGTAACCTGCACATTCAAAACTTATCATGAATTAATTCAAGGTTTCCCCCTGGTGCTCATTCTTTCTCATTTTTTTATGATCGATTTGATGGTCATTCCACGGTGTTTCATTCGCAAGTTACTAGTTCGTAACCAGCAGAACAGCTCTGTCTTGTCCTGCTCTCCAGAACGTCGGGCTGTCGAAACGACGTGACCTCTTGTTGCTTTTCTCGATTGACCTCGCTTTTTCTACGTGCCTATCACTGCCTTGTGTTTGGATGGATTTGTGTCGACACCCGCAGGCGGAAGCTGCGGCGGGAAAGGAGACCCCAGCGGAGGCGTCTTCGTGAAGGGGGCGACGCAAATGGGAAATGCTGGGGGCGTCGTAACTGTACGATGATGCTGCCATCATACTGTACGGGAAAGGAAACCACGACTGTTCAATTACGGTCTCGTCCTTGTACCAACATGCCACCCTGGCGGCGCAGTAGCCATGCACCAGATACAAGCTTCCCAGCCGTTGTTGCTGAAAATCGCCTTGCAAGAAGGTAGAGGTTATAGGGAGAATGGGAGAATGCATTGCAACCCGTGAACGTTCCCTAGGAATCGGGAGATTGGTAGTGTAGGAAAGGCGCAGCAGTCTTGTGGCTGGATTATTTAGTCCAGACACGTCTCTCCAGTTTAAGTGCCGCCTCCTTAGCACCCGTGGCGGATTACATGGCCTTTCTGTTTGCTGACATGCAACCGGAGTATCATTTTGGTCCGGATTGTGTGCCATGATATAGGGTTAGGTAGGGTTGTTTGAGTCCATCCTCCGCTACATGCGCTACAAACAGCGAACGTCGGCGCTGCGTTGCTAAACTCGGCACGCTTGATAAATTGTTTTCTTTTCGTTATTTCCGTTGCGTTTTGTCGTCCAGCTTGGTTTCTGTTGCTTGAGCTGATGACGCTTTCAAATCGGTTTTGGCATTAATTGATGATTCCAGTTGTGAATTTTTGCTCGGGCCTGTGCCGCGGAGCGGACAAGGGTTGCTTGGCGGCACCCCTCTCCGTTCGTGTTATGTCCACGTTCACAACGGCGATGGAGGTCGAAAGGATAGTCATGAACAACGCGATGTTTTATCTATGATTGGAATCGCCAATCCTTCTCACCGCAGACAGACGCTGTTCCGTCCGGTGATGCCGTGTGGTGTCAGGACTGCTGCGCAGGAATTAATTTCGATATCGACAACGCGACGCACAGCATCACGTTTCGTCTCTCAACGTTTCTCTAATCTACTACTGCCAGGCAGATGTCGGATTTAAGCGTACAAGGCTCCACGTCTGCAATGCAGACTGCAATTACCAACCAACGCAAGCTCAGCACGCGATCCACCTAACTAAAAGTCATCAGTAGTCCTCCAGCACAACAATAAGCTGTCCTGAGCAGCCCAGTCGTTCATTCCTCATTCATGCTCAAGACTCAGACAGGTTCCGGTCGAATACAATCAATCGCTGCGGTGGTGATATTACGTGCTTGTTCAAGATAAAAAAAACAACGCACAAAGCTCACGTTGAGGTGAGACATGATGTATTCACACGAGTCACCCGAACCAAGGCGCGACACAGCAGCAAGACCGGGTGTCCCCTCTTCCCGCAGAACAAGATGCCAACGAAGCTGGGGCGAAACCCTGCAGGTCCTAGCTGTGGGGCCCCCTTGTTCGCTCCAATTCGCTCAAGTTCGCTGCCTCCACACCTCCACAAGGGCACATTAGCTGGTCCATTGCTTCCACTCTACAACAGCCGTAGTGGTTTTTGCTGACTTCTATAGGGGCTATGTCCTCCCGGATGTTCTCGCTGGCTCAAATGGCCTCAAGAGGCCACATGAGGTGATGGTGAATATGTTTGTGAATTCAAAAACAACGTGTTGCTTGCAGTGTGTACGCTGGTGAGCCTGCTGCCGCTCAACATCTAAGTAAGCTAAGCTGTTTACAAGCAGGTCCCAACGTCAAAATGTTACAGAGCAGTCAGCCATATCGATCGTAGAATGGAGGGGCAATCACTGGTCTATCTCTAGGTGTTTTTTGTTAGTCACCACTACTGCAGGCTGAGTGGTGTTGCCATTTTTCGGCACGTGTATCCATACATGTCATACACTCCGACTCGCACACAGAAGTCCCATCGTCGAGTCTACACCAGCTTGTGCATGCAGGATGGCCAGGCAACAGAGAGAATACCATGTACATTTCTGCCACACGCTGGTACAGCGACCGAACTCCTTGTGAGCCATCTGAGCAGCTCCTTCCCGGACTTTCTTTTTTCACGGCGTTGCGATGGAAAGAAACCCTACTGCGGGGCAAGTGCGCGGTTTATTATGTTTTTATCGTCCACCGCCCCACTCACACCCGCTCTTTTTTGGGACAGCCTTCCCCCGATCAGTATACAATTGTACTAAGTTTATGAGGAAATATGCACAGAGCAGGGAGGGGGTACGCAGACCCTATTCCCTAACCGTAACCCTACCCCAACTTCCCCGATTCGATTGTATGCTTTATCCAACATGTTTACAAAATGTGAAAAGCCTGCGACGGAAGGCTACTGTTTTTTTTGGCGGGGGGGTTGTCCGTTTCGTTGTACCACACCTGTCAGGTAACGGTTTGCTTTAAGATTTGATGTACATACGTGTTTTTGTAAAAAATTAAGTTCTTAGAGGACAAGTTGCACCACTCTTGGCCACAGCAGTATCGCGCGTAGGCAAGACCCGCCATCTCATCGAAAGCGTGGCAGCTCCTGAGTATTATGAAACACCTCGCAATACCCCTTCACGACCCGTTCTGACTGGGCAACAACACACCCGCCTAACCTCCAACTGTGCGCAATTCGTGGAAAAGCAGGCGCTTGGGCATCCCCTGCGTGCTCGCTACCCCAATGAATGCATCCATTCGAGCGATATCCGTGGCGGGAAACGAACGCACGGGCTTGTCGAGCTCAGCAACTACCGCTGCCGCTCGGCGATGTTTCGCGGCCAGAGCGAAGAAAGGGGCGGGGTCTAACAAGGGCCGTGGGGTTGGTAAGCTCCGCAGCCGCCGCGCCGTTTGTCGTTTTCGCCTACACCAGAAGTAGTGGGCTGCCCCCGGAGTGCTCTGCCTGGCAACAGCGTTGTAGTACGTCGTGCCTTCTACAGCGGGAAGATCAACAAGGACAAGTAATGATCAAGGCCACGATGCATAGAGTGTTACAGCAGTCGATAACGATACGGCTATGCATACACATTCACTGAAAGCCAACTTCACCAGCACCTGAGCAAGCACCCGGTACTTTTCAAGTACATAGCAGTGTAGAGCAACCTTGATGATTCCATCTGTGGGGCGAGATTTCGCGGGCGCAATAGCAGGCACCATGCACTGCTTCACTCTCACCGCTGAAGGCCCCCCTCCCCCACTACTTGTACTGTACCCCAGACATTCCCCGAAACATGACAACGGCACACACATCGTTCAAACCCGCTGCCGTAAGAGGCCACCACAAGGATGCAGGTACCCACACAGCGGACAGGTCTACCACCGCGGGGCCCCCCACCCACCGCCGCCTCCTAGCCCCCCATAACCTCAAAACCCGGATAATTTATTTCTTATAGGTGAGGACTCAGACGTGGTGCCCAAGAAGCAGCTGGCGCTTTCCATGGCGCTGAAGCAGGTGGAGATGGCCTACGGGAAGGGGGCCGTGATGCAGCTGGGCTCCGCTGAGGTCGCCAAGGTGCTAAATGTAGCCAAGCCACGCCTAGCCTGGCCTGGAGCAAGCCTGGTCTAACCCAGATGATGTGGGCATGGTTTGTTTGTTTTTTTGGTTGAGCGCTGCTGTCTTACGGCCCCGTGGCGCTGGGCTTGAGTCAATCGTGTCGCCGACGGCGTGGCGAAATTTCACCGCTTTGTTGCTGTACGCCACGAGACACACGGGGGAGAGATATAGACCGACGATTGACTTGCTGCAGAGGCAATTGGAACTGCAGACGTACAATGTTATCTACGATTTGTTCTCTCTCTCTCACACTCTCTCTCTCTCTCTCTCTCTCTCTCTCTCTCGTTAAACACTTGTTCATGTCAAAATCAGATCGTCAGTACCATCGGTTGCCGTTCTGCCCTCCCCCCATCAGCGTTCTGTCCTCGCCCCATTACCGTTGTGTCCTCTCCTCATTCACCTCCTCAGGTCGAGGTTATTCCGACAGGATCGTTGTCGCTGGACCACGCCCTGGGCGTCGGCGGTCTTCCTAGAGGCAGGGTTGTGGAGGTGACGGGGCTCCGTGCTGTTCTTGCCCCCCCCTCCCCCCCGCGTTGTTCCGCTTGTTGAGTTGCGGTAGTGGCATGCCGGCCTAGACCGGAAGGCACACTCACCGCAGAAAAAAAACACCCCACCCCAGCCCTATGCATTCCCACCAACAACTCAACGCTTTTTCCTTGCGTGCTATCCTGTCATCTGTGGCGGTTGTGCTGGTCTTGATCGTGTCTAATACAGGTGTACGGGCCGGAGAGCTCAGGAAAAACCACCGTGGCCCTGCACGCGGTGGCCAAGTGCCAAAAGGCCGGTGAGCTATCCCGCCGCATTTGTTTGTTTCGTCCGTATCTGGGTTTGTTGTACTGAGTGCATCAGCGCGACTTGTTCATCCCGCAGGGGCAATGGTACCGTAAGAGCGCGAGTGGTCCCACACCCCCTAGACTGAGTTTCAAGAAGATGTCTGCTGGCGTCAGCCTAAAGCACACCTGTCGCACGCGCTAGCGCGCTCTTCGCGGTTGTGAGAAAAAAATGCAACAACACGAGAGAAACGGACGCAGAAGTATTTCATGTACGGAGGACCTGTTAGCGACTGCCTTGTCTAGCTACCACAATATCACGTCGCACCGCCGCACCCCGGTAGTGTAACTGCTTTGTAATTGTTGGTTCGGTTTAACGGCCTGCCCTGAATAGCGGCCACATTTCGTCGTGACACTAGAGGCCGCTAAACCGCCCCCCCACTGTACTGGTATGTATTTGTTATTTTGTTTTGAGGAAGTGATATTCATTCCGGGTCTCCTGAAGCTGATTTTTTTCCTTGCTTGTCGCCATTTTCAACGACATACATGCATGCATGCAGGGGGCACCGCGGTCTTCATCGACGCGGAGCACGCCCTGGACTCTGCGTACGCCAAAGCCATCGGCGTGGACATGACCAAGCTCTACCTTGCGCAGCCGGACAACGGAGAGCAAGGTGCGGACGAACGAGCACGCCGTGCTGATGCCGCTTTCCCACGGGCCGCACCTGCCCGGGGTGGTATGCAAAGCAAAGGGTGACGGATTGCATCAGGCCGCCCGGATCACTCCACTTGTTTTATTGCTGCACCGTTATTTGTGCGATGTCCTTGTGTGCATCTGCTTCCCCCCACCGCCTCGAGTCTGTTCCTTCGTATTCGGTGTGAAACAGTACTAGTACTTTTGTCTAAATGTGCCTTCCCCGCGCTGTGTCTTTCCCCTGTTTTTATGGTAGTTGCTTTCTTCCGTTCCCCTTTTTTTTTTTTCTATTGATACTGTTTTTGCCATGCGCCAACCTAATCTACGCACGGCTTGTCCTTCACCACGCTGGACCACGAATGGACTTACTGCTTGAAGCCCTCGACATTGTGGACACGCTGGTGAAGTCGGCGGCGGTGGACATGGTGGTTGTCGACTCTGTGGCAGCGCTTGTGCCCAAGGCAGAGCTGGAAGGGGAGATGGGAGACCATCACATCGCCCTGCAGGTATGGTGTAATTTCCGTACTCTTGGCTTCTTTTTTTTTCGCACCTGTACGTGTACATTTCTTGTTGAACAGGATAATTCTCACGCCAAGAGTTGTGCTTTGTTTTGGAAACACCTGCTGTATTGGTTCGTTTGATCCAGCAGCACGGGCTCAAAGTTGGTGCTGACCTACTCTAGCCCGTGTTATTTTTATATATATGTTTCGTTTTTTTTTTTTTCAAGTTTGACGGGCGAACAAGAGAATGTGACGGCACGTACGTGCATCGGGTTGGCAAAGTCTTTCAATCCGGCGCCCCTCTGTTGCTTTCGTTGGTGGCGGTGCCTGTACATTACATGCCGTTCCGATCTCTGCCCAGCAACTTCTAACTCCGTACAGGTACAACTGTGACGCGATTCCCCCTCGCTGGCTAGCTAGCATACCCCATGGAGGCACATTGCCGTTTTTGGCACAAGAAAACAACCCCCGGTGATATCTACCATGGTGACTTCGAAAACAAAATATTGTTGCCGGATGTGTTGTTCGGGGATGAGCGCGGCATATCGCGTCCCCCTGTTCCTTGATCTGAGAGAGTAGTTTGATGTTTCTGGCTCATGCTAACCCGTAATAAAAATTTGAGGAGCGGTGGCGGTGGGGGTGTGCTATCTTCTGTCGTATTATGTACGGTAATCAAACAGAAAGTAATGGGCCCAGAATTGAAACACACATGCGAGTAGTGCGACGCGAATCTTGGCGGGGTTTAAATCTTGTTTTTTTAGTCAAATTGATGAAAAATCTCGCGAATTCCACCGCTCACCTAAATTGTGTCTATGCGTAGAGTTATGTTGGCTCGCCCCTCGTGAAGGCCTCGAAAGTTATCTTGCGAAAGTCAAGGAAGCTCGTTATGAGAAAATGATACTCCGAAGTACTTCACACATCCACACAAGTACAAAAACCGGTGAGCTTAAAAAAAAAGGAAGTTTCGAACCTGTCAAAAAAAGTATTCCAAGCGGGGTTCGAACCCGCGACCTCCACCATGTCAAGGTGGCGTCATAACCAACTAGACCATCGGAACGTGCTTTGCGACGTAGAGATTAGGGCTCCTGTTGCGATCACCGATCCTGTTTCGCGTTTCACTGCCTCCCGCACAGCAGTATTTTATGTTTTGCTCTTTTACTTCTTATTTGTTGTGTAAAACCCTGGCATGAAAATTTTGGGAGAGTTCCACATTCATTCGTGGTTTGGTCAGGCTTAGACTAGCCTCGTGGTCTTGGAGCTAGGTACAGCAATACGTAGAGGACGTTTCGAAGTACATTCTGCTGGTGAAAAACTTCGGGAAATTGGCACCGTTCACCCCGATCAACGATGCCTATTTTTGTGAAAACATTGGGCACCTATAGTTTATTGTGTTTGACTGCCGTGTGCGCGAACCATGTGCTCCGTTTTCTTTGCCCACCCAATCTTCATCTGTACTCTGCCATTCGTACGTTTCATCTACGGCGCCCCCCCTCCCCCCTCTCGAAAGGCGAGGCTCATGAGCCAGGCGCTCCGCAAGCTTACGGCGATCCTGAATACCACTCGCTGCACTCTCATCTTCATCAACCAGATCCGACAGAAGGTACTAAACAATACTGTTGTCTCTATGCAATGCGGTGGTGCGCTTGTTCGACGTACAAGTAGTGCACGCGATTGGATCTGTTCCTTGAATATGGCATATGCTGCTTACGTTGTGTTCATTTGTGCGGAACGGTGCGCCAGATAGGAGCATCGTATTTTATCCATCATGGGTTGCCTCTGAAACCAAGCGGTAGCGGGTTTTGCAATCACGGTAGTTTTTGCAACTTCTGCTTTTCTGTTGTTGTTGTTTTTTTCATTCCTGGCGGAAGTTGCTTGTGCTTCTGCTGCTATTGGCGGGTCCGCGTTTGTGTGGCAGACGGATCCCACGCGGCGTTGGTGTTTACGGTGAGGCATTCGTTCAAGGAGTCCGGGCAGCACGCACACACACTACTGTTGCTCGAGTGGTGCAGCAACAAGTCGCGCTGGACACTGATTCTCGGCGCAAATGCTTACAACTCTGTCTCTTTGAGCTCTGACGTGTGTCGGTACAAGATTGTTGCGCTCAAGTCGTCCTGATCGCTGCCACAGGCTGGTGTGTTTCGCCGTACCGTTCGATAGCATAAACTTACACGTTTGTTTCTTCTTTTGCATGCAGTGTTTGGGTCGTCGAGTTAGGCGTGCGGCATGATTCGCATTTTGTTTTGTTCCATCTGTTTAGTGTGCAAAGAGCGTCCGGTACGTAGACACGCGCCGTCCTCATTTGGGAAAAACTGGGCTTATCAAGAGAGGATGGCGGTATTCGTTTGTGGTCTGTTCACCTCTGGGTTGGCAGTTTCCTCGAGGTTCGTCGACCATCCTTATCGTTTAGCTTGACTTGCAGGGAATAAGAGCTGAGATATGCAGCGCCGGAAAGAGTTAACCCAGTGTGTCGTAAATTCTGGAGCGAGCTGGTATTGTTCTGCACCTGTGCAGTCCGCGCCCGAATGTTGCCAGTGTCGGTGTGTGCGTGCCTTATCACACCTTAACGCGCTCCCTCGAGTTGCACGTGCCATAATTGCGGGATGACGACCCTCTGAAAATATATATATATACTCCGGTGCACCCTTCCGTGGACGGGTTTCGATGTGAGCAGGTCGGCGTTGTCTTCGGATCCCCGGACGTTACGTCGGGGGGGATGGCCCTGCGATTTTACTCTTCGGTGAGGCTCGAGGTCCGGAAGGGTCAAGCCATCAAGCAAAACGGAGAGATGGTCGGCACCAAGGTACATGCTCAAGTATCGTTCTTTTCTTTTTTTTCAGTTCTGTTTTGCACGTGTGCCCGTTACTTCACACGTGTATGGAAAACAGTCAGGGCGAATATTATCGTAGTGGTTGCTCCGCATGACTAAAATACCGTATTGTTCCTGTTTGTTTGGTTCGCTGGATCGTGATGTGCACACAACGTTTGTCTTTTTATGGCCTTGCTTGACTTCTTGGGTCATGGGAAGACGCGACTATTTTGTCGTACGAGAACGGATCTTGACTTGGTGCGCTATGTCGAGCGCGATTCTTTTCTTTTATTATGTCCCGTCGATTTTCACGGCCAACAAGGGAGACTTGGGGACAGACAGTCCAGTCATGGCCACGGACAAGACGATAGTAATATAATTGTGTGTCCGAGCTCGTTGAGGGATCTACGCTATCTACGCTATCTACGCTATCTACGATTTCGAGTGGCGGTTCTCTTCACGCGCACAACATTGCATTGCACGATTGCGAGGGTGATGGTGATGGTGCCGTGTGGGCGTACAGTACTTGGGGCAGGTGGGTGTGTGAGTGTTAAGTGCCAAACAGTCCACCCGTGGTTGTACAAGCTGTTTCTGACCCTTCCCCGACAAGGCAGCTAGGAGGTATCAAAGAGCCCCCACGGCTGGTAGGTGCCGCCCGTTCTGCTGCGAGGTGCCGACTGTGCTGGCTTCCTCCTCCGTAGTAATTTTCTTCGTCTACCGTCACGGCGAACGGAGAAGATTTTCGTTCTTCTCCCGCGAACGTGGTGTCTGTTGGTGTCTACTGTACTGGGTGCTGTGGCTAACGCAGCGTGGCGTGCGCGTGCTTGTGGGCGTGCGCTTCTTCATTCAGGGTTTACCGCGCTACAAGGTCCGCTGGCCGATGGAAAAGACGCCAGTCTTGCAGGGCAAAACAAATGCTTGAACCCGTTCCAATCTGCGGCGCCCCTGATAGATGTGCTCATGGTTTACCTTCAAGTAGCTTGGCGGCTCGATGCGGCTGAACACGAGATGACAGCAGAGTTTGAGAGCGTGTACGGGCCGGTACGGGAGCTCCCTACGTTGCAACCGTCGCGCTCACGAGCAATCAACGGGATTGGGTGGAGCAACAAGAGCCAATCAGCATTTACCCCTTTCCGGACAGGGAGGAGGGGGGGAGATTGGACGGAAGAGCTAGGCTTTCGAATTGCGAGCGCTCGTGCGAGAGGCGATACAGTACCTACTCCTCTGTGTGTGTGTTTCTTAGGTTTGCATCAACCGCGAATCGACTGACTAATGAAAATACGTTTGTGTGCTCGTCCTCTTTTTTTTCTTCTTTTTCATCGTGTTTTTTTTTTTTTGCAGGTGAAGGTGAAAGTGGCCAAGAACAAGCTCGCACCTCCCTTCGGCAAGGCTGAGGTAACGCAAACGTGCAACGTACTGGCGGTTTCGTTCGAAGATTAAGATTCAGTGACATCCATCCACTTTTCGAAAGCCCCTGTTTGGCCATCCAAATCTCATCTCCTTATGTTTTCTCTTCGGTAGTTGTTGAGGTCGTTATTGGTATTGATCGACTAAATAGATTGAAACTAAAAAAAAAAAAACAAACGAAACACACATAGTAATATCTATCTTATTGAAGCGAGTCTAAGATAGATTTGTTTGTTGTCGTTTTAGGTATTTTAGCTCGTGTAGCATAGCCTTTCTGGTGTTCGCGGTTACGCATGAGGGTTGCCACACTGACAGGAACACCCCACCCCTGCCCATCAAAGCCCTCCCTCATGGCAGCTGCGTCTCTCTTTTCGGGAGTGGGGACCATGGTAGAAATGGATGTTTGAAGTGTCAGTTACAGATTCCCGACCAGATTTTGTTGAGACCGTGCGCAGTCGGATAACGAGGTTCCCTTAGGTCTGTGCTGTTCCAATCGCTTTCCCAACGTATGTTGGGTTGTCCCAACGATATTGCTGCTGGGTTCTGGTTCCCACAAATGTTGAAATGAGCAAGCCGAGATTGTACTGAATCATCGATTGTTGGGAGCAAGCGCAACCAGCCTCTTTTTCATACCCACAAGATGCAAATCGAGGCAATCAAAAGACACGATGGGGTTGGAAACAGGGGCTCGGTTGAACGTACTGTGTATTTTGACCCAGGCACGACTCGCTGTTTTCAACGATGACATTTTTTTTACATTTTTTTTTTAATGCTTCGTTCGGTGACGTGGCCCCGTTTCCCGGTGTCTCTTTGTCAGGTGGACCTCATGTACGGCAAGGGTTTCGACCTCCAAGGCGAGCTTCTCGACCTGGGGTGCACCGTCGGGTTACTGTCCAAGAGCGGTGCATGGTAAAGTATTTTACTTACTAGGCAGTAACATTTGTTTATTTCTCTTCTAATCCTTGTTCAGTAGCTAATATTATCTACCTCGGAGCAGATTGCTACACGCCGCCATTTGTTGTGATTTTTCACGATTTTTCACGATTTTTTTTGTGTATTGGAAACTTAAGGTTCGGCGTGAGCGCTTCGATGGGCGTGGACGGCACCGAACTCGCCGGGCAGGCGGCACCGTGGCTCATGGGCCAGGGTAGGGAGAAGGTGGGGGCAGCGTTGTCTCAGCGTTGTAGAATAGAGGCAGTATAGTCCGTCGCACACGAACGTTACGTGCCTGAGGTGTCCGGGATGTTGTCATTCTGGCGGCGGTCATCGCGAAATTGCGCCTGTTGTTGGTGTTGCTGGTGTTGTGTTGGTGTTGGTTTTGTTTTTGGTGTTGGTCCGTTTGCCGTTGGTGATGTTTTTGCTGCCACCACGCGTCCTATGTCACCGTTCGAGCACGCGCGTCTCTCTGCCCTATCTATGTCGTCGTGTGGATTTTGGCGCGGCCAGCAGCTCTCCGAGAAAAGGCGGTTTTATCACTGTGGAAAACATCTACAGTACTTTCCGCCTCCCTCAACACTCTCTTTTTTGCGTCGTCGCCTCATTTTTCCTCATGCCCCCTCCTCCCCTGCCGCGCACCTGTAGTCGAAGGCCTTCTTGTTGGCAAACCCCCGCCTTTCGGAGAAGCTCAAGGCTGCAGTTATGGAAACCCTTACCGCCGGAGAATCGCACGACGCCGCAGGAGCAGCAGGAGACGTGCCATCAGACCCCCCGTCCCTCGCCAGCTCGACCGAACCTAGCGACATCGCGGATGATGTTGTACCTGAGTCTGCAACAGGGGATGCATCGGTTTCGTCCCCGGGCGGCGTTTTGGGCAAGAATGGGGAGCGAGAAGAGGTGGTTGAGGCAGAGGGCGTGTTGTTGGAGCCGGGGGTGGGCTCTGTGGAAGAGTTGTTTGAGAGTGACGTTTTTTCGAAAGCGCCGGTTGCCTCTGTCCAGGGTGGGGGGAGTAGGAAAGGTAGCGGCGTCCAGGAGGACGCAGCGAATGCCGAAGAAAAAATGAAGGCTAAACGGTGAAGGGGCGGTTAATACCCCGCTTTAGGACTTGATTCTGTGTATGGTAGGGTAAGCCGTTGTTGGCGGCAAACCTGCGGGGTTTGGGCAAAGCAAGCTTTAGGGCATGCACTGAGTGTGCTTGGGATCAAGCCTCAACCAGACCTTGCCTACGACGTGTTGTTTGTTGATTGCAAGCGAAACCAAAGCGTTCCGCGATTCAAAGGGACCACTTTGAGAGTTACAATACCGAGCTGTTTTCTGTTCTGGCTTTCTTTGCGGGACACTGTCAAAGAATGCCGGAATGGACAACATTCCGGATCCTCTATGAGCTTGGAGGAGAATTATTTGCCTCACACGTCTCTTTCTGCGTTTAGCGTGTCTTCGTTTACCGTTCAACGTCGTGGATCGAACACCATGTGCGATCACCCGTGTGTGTGAAACACGTTGTTGACCCTGGGCATCTGTCCCTTGAGGTTGTTTCTCTCCATCTTATTGAATGCAACGCCACAATTTCGCCCAAGATCCATGCGCTCATGAGCAAGGAGACTCACGTGTTATCAGTGCCACACACACCACACGGAACACCACCACATGGAACTGCTGTGTTGTTCTTTTGCCCTTCCGTTGAACAGCTCTTCGCCTTGACAGATTTTCCTCCCATACGGTCTACTTGCCTGTCTAGTTGAACAACTCCCCGAGATACACAAGGGGAACGGTGATTCTGCGGTGATGCCTTGATAATTTTGCGCCAGAAGGCTTGAGCTCTCCCCTTCGAGCTGCACTCACGGACAAGACAAGTATAATAAATCATACGCGTGGGCACGCATCGTGGAAACATAAGAGTACGCCCCCCCCCCTCCGCACCAGTACTATTTCAAAGGAACCCCCTCCTCGCCGCTGATCTGTAACTGCCCACCGGGTCAGGCCCGCGAGTAGCCCCTCACCCCTTCGTGAGTTCTTATCTTGTTGCAGCTGCCGCGTTTTGGGGCTCTGTTCTTATCGGTGAGCACATTGTTACACCACGAAGAAGGCGGGTTCTTGTTCTTAACACCACGTCGGGACTGAGCACGTGTTCTTATGGCCAATTTCTTTGATTTTGATTTTTTTCGAGGCCACATTTCATGACTACTAAATTCTTAAGTGCGAGTGAGTGCAATCTGTATCTTTTCTCATCATTATGTAGTACCAGAAGCAACATAGACATGGACCTACTATTTGATATGATTGGGTAGAAATACGAACGGCAACGATCGGGGGAGAAAGAAAAGACTGCGAAAAAGAGAGGCGATGATTATGATTACTACAGAACGCGCCACCACTTAAGAACTTAGCAGTTAAGAACTTGAGCCTCAAACAATCCAAAATCTAAGAACTTGGCCATAAGAACATATGCTCAGTTCCGACGTTGTATTAAGAACAAGAACCCGCCCGGTGTACCAATGCGCATAGAGATAAGAACGGAGTCCCAAAACGCGACGGCTGCAAGATAAGAACTCAGGAGGCTGGGGGTGACCCAAACAGCAGTTAGTTTCTAATTCGAGGCGGGGGGGGGGGGCAGAGAGAGGACCTCGTGATGAATTCTTGTACGCGCGGAGGGGGAGAGCGTACTCTCTCTCATGTTTCGCATGCCTTAGCGGTAGGACAATTGACCAACGTCTTCGAGAGGACGCATCCATGTTCCAACAGGATCACTGATGCCAATCGTTCCTTCCCACTTCGAAGTACTTTGTCAAACGTGGCCAAACCATGTTCTCCCTAGCCGATCTACCCTATATCGATATCACTTCCCGCCTTTTCAACCCACTTCTTATGCCCCAGTACAGCTACCACCGTTTTCTCCTGGCTATTCCATGCCTCAAACACCTCCCTGTACCTTTTCTTCTACATGTCCAACTCAGTCATGTACATTTCTCTGTCCTTGTCGCCCCACACGGACGTTTCAACGACATGAACCCGGTCTTCGCTCTCGGAGTCGCATTCACATTGAACTCGTCTTCATCGTCTACCTTCCTGAATCTTCGTCAATGTTCTCGAAGGCCGTTTTCCACACTCCAAAATTTGACCTTGGGCTTTCTCCCTGAATCCATTGGTCCATGTAGTAGGTATATACCTTCTTTCAACCTCCGTACACATGGAGACCCTCCTTATCCTTGGATCCTTTTGTTATATGGTGTTCTCTCTCGGCGAAAGAAGCAGATTTCTTGTTCTCGAACCCCTCTAGATCTACCGTTCGTTTCCAATTTACCAACCTAATCGATTTTGAACTCTTCCTACGCCGTCTACAACCTTAATCCACTCCCTCCGGGTTGGTACCTCCATTTTTCTTGTTTGTCCACTTCGCCTCCCAGGCTTCTCTCGGCAATCTCTCCTCTCCCACATCGTACAACATACGGCCTACCTGCCATTTTAACCTACTTACGCCTCTTCCCGATCGTAGGAGTTGGATCCGAAGGGGGTGTACTCTCTCTCATGATTTGGCAGCCTTACATAGCGGTTAGACCGTTGACCACGCGTCCTCGACAG